CCAATGAACTTAAAAATAGTTCAATAGATCAATATAAATCAATATAGATAAATCAATATAAATTGTCCAGCTGAACAACAGAAAGGAAATAGATTGAAAAAAATAAATCCTTAGGATCCTGTGAGACAATACCGAAAGGTCTAACATTCTTGTCATCAGAGACTCAATAGGAAGGAGAAAGTGTAGTGCAGAAAAAAACTTTTTGAAGAAATAATGGCTGAAAACTTCTTAAATTTGGTGAAAGACATAGTTACAGATTCAAGAAGCTCAATGAATGCCCAAAACAGCAAACTCAGGAAAATCCACGTTCAGCCGTATCATAATCAAACTACTAAAACTAAAGACAAAGACAAAAATCTTAAAAGCAGCCAGAGACAGATAATGCATTAAATTTAGGGAAAAACAATTTGAATGACGGCAAATTTCTTGTCAGAAACCAGAGCTCGGAAGGCAGTAGAAAGTTTTTAAAGGACTGAGAAAAAAAACAAACTGTCAACCCAGAATTCTATATTTGGCAAAAATATCCTTTAGGAATGACGGTGACATAAAGGTATTCTCAGATAAAGAAAAACTAAGAAAATTCATTGTCAACAGACTTTCTCTAAAAAAAAATGCTAAAGGAAGTCTTTTAGACAGAAGGGAAATGATATCAGAGGGAAGCTTGGAGCATCAACAACAGCAATGGCCAATATCTGGGTAAACATAATGGATTATTTTTTTCTCTTGAGTTCTTTAAAATATGTATGATGGTTGAAAGCAAAAGTCATAATATTGTCTGATAGAGTTTTCAATTTATGTATATATAATACATATGACAACTACAACTGAAAAGCAAGAAGGTAAAGATACCTATATGGTCAAGGTGTCAAAAGGTTCTGAGAGGACCAAAAAGTTATCCGTGTATATTGTAATTCCTAGAACAACTTCTAAACAAATAACAGAGACATGGTAAAAAACTCAATAGATAAAGTAAAATGAAAAACTAAAAATGTTGAAAAGATCCAAAAGAATGCAGGAAGGAGGAAATAAAGAAACACAGTGAACAAACAAAAACCAAAAAATAAAATGGTAAACCTAAATCCAAATATATCAATAATTACATTCTATGTAAATAGTCTAAACATACCAATTAAAGGCAGCAAATTTCAGAATGGATTAAAAAAAGAAACCCAACTATATCATAACCACACACAAAAAACCCAGTATAAATATTGATGTATGTAAGTTAAAAGTAAAAGGGTGGGAAAATATGTACCATGCAAGCACTAAGCGTGCTATAATATTCATGTAAATATCACTTATAAGCAACAGCATTTGCATACATTGTTGGTGAGAATATAAACAGTTTAACCACTTTGGAAAATAGCTTGACATTATCTTCTAAAAACACATACCACGTGACCCACAATTCCACTCTGAAGATATTCTCAATAGAAATGCATACATAGATACACCAGAAGACAAGTTCTAGAAAGTTCACGGCAGTCTTATTAATTATGACCCCAAATTGAAAGAACCCAGATGTCCATGAACAATAGAATGGATAACTAGAGTGTGGTATATTTGTACAACGAAATACTATCCAGCAGTGAGTGAACTACAGCAATGCACGATGACGTGGATGAGTTTCACAGGCATAACATTGAATGAAAGCAGCCAGACACAAAGAAATCCATTCAAAAACAGCCAGAACCGACCTACGGGCTCAGACATCATGAGAGCAGGTGTCTTGGGAGGAGCGAGGGAGAAATGATTGAGAAGAGTCTGGCAACATTCTATTTCTTGCTCTGGGTGGTGGTTCCATGGTCTGTATGTTTCGTGCACTTTTTCTGCAAGTGATTTATACATCAATAAAAGCAATTTTGAAACAGTTTTTGAAAATCAGGATGGAAACATTAACAGAGGGTGTGCTGGTCTTGTTGTGGAAAGGAAAGAGAGCCAGAAGAGAAGTGATTTCAGGATTAGAATTAGATAAACAAGTACTTATTAAGCATCTGACATATGCCAGAACTGTCCTGAATGTTTTCATATATATTATCTCATTTAATCCGCCCCAACTAACAAGTGAGAAAATGGGGACAATGATAATAGTAATCAACTGTGCCAAGTACTGTTTGAGTGATTTTCAGGATTAACTCTAATTTTTAGTCCCATGAGGTTGAAACCAGCAGGGCCTTCACAGAGGAGTCCCCAAGGCTCTTCTTCTGTGCCTGGCATTCCCCACGGCCTCACACCAGACTTCTGACCTTGTCTCCAAGTGCATTTACACCCACAGTCCCAGAGACGCATTGACTGGCCTTTTTTTTTTTTTGGTGAGGAAGATTGGCCCTAAGCTAACATCCATTGCCCATCTTCTTCTTTTTTTGCTGAGGAAGATTAGCCCTGAGCTAACATCTGTGCCCATCTTCCTCTATTTTGTATATGGGACGCCTGCCACAGCATGTCTTGGTAAGCGGTGAGTAGGTCTGTGCCTGGGATCTGAACCTGCAAACCCCAGGCTGCCAAAGCAGAGTGCGCGAAATGAACCACCATGCTACCGGGCCAGCCCCTGGACTTTTTTTTTTTTAATTAGGAAATATTTTATTGTACAAAATTGACATTTGTTGTATATGATGAAAAACATGGCAACACCAACCTTTTGTTAATCTATTTTCCTTTGAGATTTTCTTTGAAAAGTGAAGACATTTCCTAATACATTCTCAGACAATACAACTTTTTACATAGAATGTTTAACAGTTGTATTGGTAATAAGCGTCTTGGGATATAAGGTACAAAACTGAAAACAGATCAAAAAACCGCAGAGGGAAGACCACTGCCAAAGAGCAATCTCCAAGAAGGTGGCGTTTTCCACGGCAAGGCAGATGCTCTGGGGTCACGCCCTAAAAGTGGTTTGATTATCTGAAGCCATTCATTAAGACCCTCAACGAGACGTAATGCATCTGGGATATTGTCTCCTTCTGAGACAAATTTCAGCAGAACCGCCACTGGGATTTCTTTGAGCAGCTTTCATCATAGAGTGCTTTTGTGATACCTCCTCCAGGAAGATGGATACAAAACTCAGAATTATTTATTTCAGGAATGCATGGGCTTTTCCCCGTTTCTTCCCAGTTCAGGCTGATCTTACAGCTGTAAACATCTGTCCCTCCTTGGGATCCCACTGTCTGCGGCGCATTATGAATCCTGTAGTTTTCTTATAAATAGGCTGGGCAGAGTGTGCCATTCTTTGTTGCATATAATAAAACATTACTTGGTTAAACGTAAAATGTTTAAAACACGCCAAAATTTTTATAACCTTGTTTTGTCACATCTTCATTTCTTAATATACACATTGCCTCGGAAGGTGGAAGGGCTCAGGCCCGTCAACCTCTAAGGGGCTCCAGGTTCTCTCATTACCTCCAATTCATAGATGAGAAATGACCCTGAGAAAGGCTGTTTTCCTTCTTGCTTTCCAAGCTGTTCCCACTACAGCATGTTGTCAGTGGTCAAGTAAAGGCATCCTACAGCCCATAAGAGTGGCACAGGGCTTATTTACAACACTCAGGAGAAGTGGCAAGAGCTGGGATTCCTAGGGCAATGCCTGCTTTGCCTGGGCTCATCCTGCAAACGAGATGGGGCCAAATGGCAGGTGGGACTGCGGCCTCACGTCCTCCCTAGACCTCCCAGGCCTGGAAGAAGGGCATCACCAGGCTGGCCAGAGGTTTACTCGGGGCCTGTTGCCTCTCCTGGCAATGCCTCTGCTTTGGACTTCATTTGTCCAAACTCCTGTCTCCCCTGGCTCTCCCCAGACCAGGCAAAGGCTGGCTGCTCCACCCACGTGTGCCCAGGAGGGCAGGCCCTGGAATGCACTGCTCTTGCTAATGAACAGACCCTTGCCCCTCGTGGTGGATATCTCATGACTCAGGAAGCAAGGCAGTCCTCCCCACAGCCCCTCCACACCAGGGAGCGGTTCCCCCACTGGGCTGCCCAGGGAGAGACTGAGGCCACGGAGGGCAGGGAGAGGGGACCTCGACCCAGAGCATCCTGAGCAGACTCTGTGGCGCCAGGTCATTCTGCAGGGTGGTCGACTCTAAGGCAGAGAGGAAAAGGGCTCCAATCTCCAGGACCTCTCTTTAGAGTGAAAGGAGTTGCTTGGCAGCTGGGTCACAGCCCCCCAGCTCCAGGAGCAGGCAGGCAGAAGGCAGGAAGGAACCGCCTGGCCCCAAGCCCGGCTCCTGGCAACACTGGCTGGGGGTCCAGGGCAGGGAAGGGAGGAGGGCTCCGGCTTGGGGCAGCACCCAGCCAGCCAGGCCCTTCTCAGGTGCCTGCTGGGGCGGATTTCTGCCAGAGAGCGAAGCCCCCTCCATTTGCCCTCTGAGGTACGGAGGAGAGGAGGGCGGAGAAAAGGGTGCAGAGAAAGAAGGAAGCCCAAGTCCCCAGGACAAGACAGGAGCTGGAAGTGAGGGCGGCTCCTGCCTCTGGTTTGAGGCTGCAGGTGGCCCCCAGGGGTGGAGAGGGAGGGAGCCACATGCCCTGCCCCCAGGGGCAGAGGGATGTAAGACCCAGCATCACCAGTGACCAGCTCTGTGACCTTGACTTGCCCTCGCAGATTCTTGGTTTCCTTACTTGGAAAAGGGGCGAAACAGCCACGTGCAGGACTATGGGGAGCACCAGAGTCGCCTGCAGATTGCTTGGCTCATAGTAGGTCCTTAATAAACGTTATCTGTCCTGGCAGATGGCCTCTTCGCCTATACTCAGGCACAGGGTTGGGGGGTGGCGTCTGTAGCTGGCATCCCCTGGAATAACATGCTCCAGGATTCAAACATTCCTTAGGAGGAAAAGTCTAGGAAGAGACCCCGCTTTCCTCGCCTCCGTGCACCCAGCGGCCCTGCCCCAACCCAGCGCAGACCAGCTGGAGCGCAATACGCATTTCACGGAGAACTCTTGGCTGGAGCGAGTGGAAGGACCTGCTCGGCTGGAACGTTTTTTTTTCCCTCCCAGGCGACGTCCGATGGGTGTGTCGGGCAGGAGGTGATATTTGAAGGGCTGCGGGCACGAGCCAACTTCTGCAGAGCCACGGGCGCCAGGCAGTGGCTGAGAGCATGGCCTCCCGGGACCCGCCGCCCGCCACCAGCTACGCCCCGCCCGACGTGCCCTCGGGGGTCGCGCTGTTCCTCACCATCCCCTACGCCTTCTTCTTGCCGGAGCTGGTGAGTGCGGCCGTGCGGCCGCCTGCAGAAAAGGAGGGGCCGGGAGGGGCCGGGAGAAGCCGGCCTGGGGCTGGAGCGCGCTTCCCGGGGCAGGCGCACCGCGGCCAGGGCTGCTGTGGTCCCCCATGTCCCCCGCCGGACTCAGAGCCGGGATGTTTCTTCCTCCCTCTCTGCGCGCCTCTCGGTTCTGCAGTGTGGATGGGTTTCTTCCTTCCCAAAGGAAACCCACCGCGGGTGACGGGCAGGCCACGTGGTGATTGGAGGGGTGTGGGAACGCTTAAAACATCCTGGATCCTCAGAAAGATGTTGGAAATGGACTTTTACTGTATGGTTTCCTTTCTCCAACTACTTGTTTGTGCTTTTCTGAAGTTCAGAATGGGGGGACTCTGTCTTTCCTGCCGAGAGGAGGTCTTCCAGTATTTTCTTAATTCTCATATCAGCTGACTTTGAACTTTGGCTCATGTGGACTGCCAAGAGGGGGTCATTTAAGACAACATCTGCCGTAAAGCAGTGTGTGAGATGCCCCGGTTGCACATGAGAAGCTGTCACAGCATTACTGTCTCAGTGCCATGCAGCTGAATTGTGGCCCTAATCTCTGCCAGGTAGCTGGCATATTCCAGTCTGCAGGGCTCTGCACAGGGTGTTCAGAAGAACTCAAGTAGAAGAGTTCGAAAGACCTCTCCGAGCCAGCTGTCAGCGTCCCCTTTTCACTGATGGGGACACTGAGTTCTGGTGAACAATTCAGGGCAAAGGAGTTTGTTTTTCAAACACTCTCTGAAGTGTCTAGCTTGTGGGTGATATTTTCTTACCAGGTCTGAGTTTGGCAGTGCTGCCCCTGGCAGGAAGGAAAGATAGAAAGTGGTTCCAACTTTCAATTGGACCTGAGCAGCCCTCTCACTCTTGTCATCTCCCTGGAAGGCTGGGCCTAACTGAGTGACCTTTTGGCAAACCGGTTAAAGGGTATCCATTGATGCCAAGAGGAAAGGGAAGCCAGGCAGGGCAGGCCCAGCATTTGGATGGCTCCAGCTGAAGCCCCACCCAAGAGGCAGGTTTCTGCCAGGCTTGCCACCAGGAGGACACAAGCCTGGGCATCCTGCCAGACTTTTGACATCTTAGGCTGATGTGAGTTCTCTGTGCCGGGACCTGGGCGTGCCCCTCACCTCAGAACAACCACATGAATGCCCAGGATCGTGGTCGACTCCACCACTTTTTATTGAGCACATGCTTTGTGTCAGTCACGCAAGCCACTGGCGACAGGGCCACTGCCTTCCCAGGTTCCCCGTCTGCTGGAGAGAGACTTGTGAGCACTTCCTCGCCACAGTCAGACTGTCCTGGGTGTGGCATCAGCAAGGAGAGATATCCGACTGTGTCGAGTCCGGGAGGGGTCCAGGCCTGTCACTGAGGAGGCAACTTGGGAGTTGTACCTCAAAGGACAGGCCAAATTTCCAGCCTGGGGGGCAGGAGAGGCAAAGGCCTAGAGTCCAGGAGAGACCCACAGGCAGGAGGCTGGAGGGAAGGGGCTTCCAGAATCAGGAAAGCACCCAGGGTGCGAGGGGCCGTCTCGTGCAACTACCCCCGCTATGCTGCCTCCTGCAAATGGACTCCCCGGCGGGGTAAAGTGCGTGCTTATGCTGGGCTCTGGGCGTTAAGCATCTTAGCAGATGGGGTATTGTCATGGGTTCAATTTTATTCATTCATTTTTCTTTTGAAATAATTTTAGATTCATAGCAAAGCTTCAATAATAGTACAGAGAGTCCGCTATAGTCTACTTAGCTTCCCTAAGGTCCACATCTTACCCAGGACAGCCATCAAAAGCAGGACCTTCACACTGATGCTCCACCATCAACTGCTCTGATAAACCTCATTCCAGTTCTGCTGCTTTCCCCCCTGGTGTCCTTTTTCTGGGTCCGGGGTCCAGTCCGGGAGTCTGCACGGCCTTTAGTTGTCCTGTCTGCTTCATCCCTTTCATCTGGGGCAATTCCTCCCTCTTCGTCTTGATACTTTGGAAGAGTACTGATCAGTTATTTTATACGATGTCCCTCATTCGGTCTATTGGATGTTTCCTCATTACGGCTTTAGATTTAATTCACAGATCATCCTCATTCATTGTTGAAAACTGAGAAAATACAGAAATACATATAATCCGTATATATGCATATACTCATATATACACGTATATATTTAATGGGGTTATTCTGCACCTGCTGTTGTGTACCTCTTTTTCCTTAAGTGATCGTTCCTAGCACAGAATGTAGAACCACGTGTGCCTCATATCTGGGTGCGGGATGGGGAGGTAAACGGGAGAGGAAGGGAGGATGTCAAGGTGGATGGGTGATTCTGATCCATTGAGCAGAGGATATGCTGGGCTGGAGAGAGGAGGGCAGAATCAGCCTCGTAGAAGCCCCTCTCTGTCCCTGGCAGCCTGAGTATGCCGCCCGCTGCCGCTCGCTGGGGCTGACCACAGAGCACCAGGCCTTGGGGCTCCAGCAGGTTCTTAGTCTTAGGGCCTAAGGCATCACAGACAGGCGTCATGTTTTTCTCAGGACATGAGTCCAGCGAGTGGCTTCTAAAACTGGAAGCTCAGGCCAGCAAAAATGGGAAGAGAAAGTGAAACTCATAACCTGGCTTCAGATGTCTCCATGATAGGGCGGCCCAGGGTGGACATTGCTGGTGTCTGCAGGCACACTCCCACCTAAGCACCCACCGTGAAGTCTGGACGGCAGGCCCTGTGCTGAGGGCCTTCCCACGGGAACAAGGTACCAAAAATACAAGGAGAGCAGAATTAAACAAGGGCTCCAAAGAGGCTCGAGCTCTTCCCCCTCGACTCCCCTGCTCCGAGGCCTCGAGTCACCCCTGCTTCAGGTGAGCGGCAGCCTTGTGCTCTTTTGCATTAATGATGCTGGCTGACTCGGCGAGGATCTGCATGTTCACTGCCTGCTCTTACAGATCTTTGCCTGAGTCGCTTTATTTTAGAGTCTTTAACGTCAAGATGTGCATTTTTAAACCTTTTTTTTTTTTTTTTTTAAAGATTTTATTTATTTATTTTTCCCCCAAAGCCCCAGTACATAGTTGTATGTCACAGCTGCACATCCTTCTAGTTGCTGTATGTGGGACGCGGCCTCAGCATGGCCAGAGAAGCAGTGCGTCGGTGCGCGCCCGGGATCCGAACCCGGGCCGCCAGCAGCGGAGCGTGCTCACTTAACCGCTAAGCCACGGGGCCGGCCCTAAACCTTTTTTTTGTAGTAATTATAGATTCAAAGGCAGTTTCAAAGATAGTTCAGAGAGATCTCCCATACCCTTCCTCCAGCCCCCCACAGTAGTTGCCTCTTTCCTAACCCTAGTGCAGTATCCAAACCAGGAAACCGACGTTGGTAGGATATGTCTATTCTTCTCGCCATTTTCTCACACATGTAGAGTCATGTAACCACCACCACAATCAAGATACAGAACTGTCCCATTGCCTCAAAGATCTCCCTCCAGCTTCTCTTTTATAGTCCCCCCTGCCATCCTCCCTCACTCCTGGAAACCACTAATTCCATCTCTATAATTTTTTTATTTCAAGAAAGTTATATAAATAAATGGAATCATACAGTATGTAGCATTTTGAGATTAGCTTCTTCCACTCAGCATAATGCCCTTGAGGTCCATCCAAGTTGTTGTGTGTGTATCAATAGTTCCTTCCTTTTGATTGCTGCGTAGTATTCCATGGTATGGATTTACCATAGTTTGTTTAACCTTTGACCCATTGAGAAACGTTTTGGTTGTTTATAGTTTTTAGCTATTATAAATAAAGCTGCTATGAACGTTTATGTCCAGGCTTTTGTGTGGATGTAATTTTCACTTCTCTGGGGAGATGCCTGAGTATGATTGCTGGGTTGTGTAATAAGTGTATGCTTGATTTTTATTAAGAAACTGAGAAACCGTTTTCCAGGGCGGCTATAGCGTTTTACATTTCCACCAGCAACAGATAAGACTTTTGGGATTTTAACATTAAAATTCATATTTTGTTCGGTTTACTTAGTTGAATTCAGATTTCTCATTTGAAAACAATATTAATTTCAAAAGATAATCTCCACGTGTGAGGAACTTTTGAATCAATGCATTTTAAGGTGAGAACAGACATCATTTATTCCCTCTCTCCTTCATTCAGGGAGCGTGGGAGCCTGCTGGTGCCAGCGCTGGGCAGGGCCTGGGGACCAGGTGACTCACAGCCCATGGCCTTGGTCTTCAGAGCAAATAGTGTGTGAGTGGCTGGCATGGGGGGGACCACGTGACACCCGATTACCTGTGTGGGGTGAGCTGACTCATCAGCTTTTTACAGGATGAAAGGTGGATGCTGAGAGCTGCCCCAGGTGGCTCTGACTGAGAGAGTGCTTTAAGAATAAGAGTCCACGGAAGTCTTTTAACCTTCAACCTTTTCATTAATTAGCTGTTTGACTAATTAAAAAGAAGCAGCTAAGAAGATTTCTAGAGTCAACCAGTGAAAAGGTGAGACGATTCGAACACTGGTGTTTGATGTTTTCAGCTACCTCACTTGCCTGCGCAGTGGTCAGGAGGAAATACTCTGACGCCCCTGGAAGGTCATTCCGGAATCTTCCAGATGAGGAAGCGCACCCTTATGTCTTAGCTTATGAGATTAAGGCTCACCTGCATTTCACCCTGCTGCCTCTTCTACTCTGTTTGTGTGTAAAAGCCTGTTGGAAAACTTACTGACCCCCCAGCCACCTGGGATCACCTGCGTGGCCTGAACTTACTGCGTGGGGCCGAGAAGGAATTAGGGCTCATCTTGGGCCTGGCTTAGGGCTGGTAGTCGCTGTTTTGTCGTAACATTTCCTTACTCCCTTAGAAGTTGTGTTTCCCAAAAGGAAAAATCCTTCCCCTTGTTTTCGCCTGCTCCCCTTTCAATTTTCCATACTTCTGGGGAGTAGCAAAAGTAAAGTCAATTTACCCCAGTTTTGCTTTGTCTTTGTTGCTTCTGTCCTTCCCTTCGCTCTGCTCCT